AATGAGCGTCGAGCTGCTCTACTTGCTGAGAACAACAACAATGTGAAGGAGGTAAAGATTCATGATGAGTTTTGTTGTGTGCAATCTTTCTTGGAATTTCATTAAATTTCTAAATTAGTACTTCCATTTCTAGGTGGCGAAGATTACTGGTGAAGAGTGGAAGAACATGACAGAGCAACAAAAAGCACCCTATGAGGAGGTAATTTTTACTTAAATTTTGGAGAATTGAAACCCCTTTTGTCTGGTTGTTTCTTATTTTAGAAGCTTATAGACATGTTTTCGCACGATATATGTAGATGGCAATGAAGAAAAAGGAGAAATATTTGCAAGAAATGGAAGTTTATAAGAAGAAGAAAGATGAAGAAGCTGCTGAACACATGAAGGAAGAGGAGGAATCGATGAAACTCAAGAAGCAAGAAGCACTTCAATTGCTCAAAAAGAAAGAAAAGACAGAAAATTTGATCAAGGTTTGTCTAGCCATTCTTGATACAATTTCTGATTAGGCTTTTACAAAAGTTGAGTTAAGCTGATTGATTGGTTTGTTATGAATGTGACTTCTGGCAGAAAACGAAAGAAAATCGCCAAAAGAAGAAACAAAAGGATGACAATGTGGATCCTAACAAACCAAAGAAGCCTGCTTCATCATTCTTTCGTTTCAGTAGAGAAGAAAGAAAGAAACTAGTCGAAGAGCGTCCTGGAATTAACAATTCTACCATTAATGCTCTCATTTCACTGAAATGGAAGGTAGAATTCCTTTTTGACACGACTTTCACCATTTCGGTATTTTCTGTAACAACCTCTTTACTCCCAAGGTAGGCAAGGTTTGAGTACATTTTTACCCTCTCCAGACCCCACTTACGTGGGATTACACTGCATATGTTGTTGTGTGTTCCATGTGACTGTAGGATTGCTTTGTGCATCGGACCACACCCTTTAGTGTGTGTGGGGACAAATCTTGGAGAAACTGTAAAGTTGTTACCTTAACTATAGGCCGAGCTGTGTAATCCGTCATTCATGCTTGGATAAGGATAGATTGTTTACACTTACACCCCTCACTCCATTGGGGTGCGACCCTTTCCCTTGCCCTGCATGATCGCGATGTTTTGTGCACCAGACTGTCTTTTGACGTATATTTACTATTTTTTGATGTGTAGGAATTGAGTGAAGAAGAAAAACAAGTCTGGACTAACGAAGCAGCTGAAGCGATGGAAGGATACAAAAAGGAAATGGAAGAATACAACAAAACTGCAGCTGAAAAGCAGAACAACAACAATTAGAAAATAGGTGCTGCTTAGAACAAGTTCAACTGGTTATGTTGAACATAGAAAATGCCTGCTAGTTAGAGTTGAAAACTTGAAATAGTCATTTCAATTTTTCTTCTTGTTAGTTCATTTCATTTGACTTCTTATGGATGACTTTGGATTTAGTCATACTTGCTGAGTTAATGTGATTGAAATAGCATAAAATTAATTCGTTCAATTCTTATTAAGTCGTTCAATTCTTATTAAGTTTATTTTTTTTTATTTTTTTATAAGTTCAAACGTTTTAACTAATGAACGTAGTCATGAAGTTATAACTGATATTTTTTATTCGTTCAAATGTTGACAACTAATGAACGTAGTCATGAAGTATAAATGACATTATATAAATGAAGCAATTATAGAGTATTATTATACATACATACATATGTATAAATTATATTTTATGGACTAATTTTATCACGCAATTCAAAAATATCTTGTTGTCATTATTGGGGAAGTGTTCCTCTTTTAATGCTCATTCATGTGAAACCGTTGGAAGTTTTTCAACAATTCAATAATGGATGAACCAACAAATAATTTTCGGCAATGGCGCAAGTGCGGTGGTAGTTGAGTGCCTTAATTATTTTAGTAGAGTAGTAAGAAAAAAAAATAAAAAAATATTTGCTACTGATATTGTTTGCTGGTATGTGCACGATTTTAAAACGCATCTTGTTCATGAAATTTTTCTTGACTCAACACATCACTAAATAAACTTAGTTAAAATTCTTACCTACTATCAACATGGCTAAAACATGAGGGGTTTTTTACTGGTCCAACTTATTAAAAGGAAATGATCATTTTTATGATATTATATAAGTAAACCTTACACAATTCTTTAGGGGTATTACCTACTCCGAATCTAAATTCATACTGTACTTCAAAACGAATTACTAATGTGTAAGTAAGGTTTACGTATATAATATCATAAAAATGATCATTTCTTTTTAATAAATTGGACCAGTAAAAATGAACGGAGGAAATAATAGAAATAATAGGAGAAACGAAGCGTGCAAGATTTTGGTAGAATTAACATCACTTTGGGAACATTACTTTTTAGTTGTGGGATAAAAGGAGTGACGCAATTCTTCTAATATATGGACAAAATATTACTTCATGTAATCATATTGTTTGCCATTTTCATGAGTTTCATCTCACTTGATTAATAATTCTTTATTAATAAAAAGTAAATATGTGGTATCATTCGAATATAGAGAGTTGATTTCTTGAGAAAATTGTGAATTAAGATATAAAAAATTTAAAAATTTTGAAATAAAATTTATATGTATAAAATTAAATAGAAGTATTATAGTGAATCATTCAAAAACAATATTGAAAGACATACAAAAAATTTACGATAAAAAAATTTCGTTGGTTCTCAAAAATTGGATGGTGTGCCAAACAATTGAGACGTAGGAAGTATGCAATAAATAATTTATTATATATATATATAACAATGTCTTAAATTAGTACTTTCTTTCTATTAATTTATAATAATGACATATTTTTTTAAATTTATTTAAAAAATAATGTCACCTTTCTATAATTAGAAATAACTTAATTTTAATATTTTTCTTTTACAGTGAATTGATTTATAACACACACATATTTTTATTTTATTTTAGATTACATATTTAAAAGACTTCTTTTCTTTCTCATACTTTATATGAAGTCGAACAATGCATTGATATAGAGGAAGCACTTCTTTTTTAAATCTTTGCACGGATAATCAAATCGATTTACTATTTATTTATTCTAATAATACAAACATTATCCATGATCACATGCACATTGGTTAGGAGTCGCATCGAAATTGTACATAGCACTTACAAGTTATGTTGTACTCACGAATCGATATTATTCTATTTCAAATCTTTTTTTATATTTGATACCTCTCAAGGAAAATATATATTCGATGGGTCAATGTTATATTAAAAGTTTTTTATTTAATATATAAAGATAATTTATTTATAGTTCAGTATGTAGTTTTCAAATCTCAAAACTATGTATTTAAAATTCTAACTTCGTATTTTCTGTGTGATAAAATCATAAAGGCCAAACTTGTTTAACTTTAGCAAATTGTTTTAATGAAATGAAAGTTTTTTTATGGAATGAAAATGACATTTTCCTAACTTCGAATCTCTTTACACTTTCAGCCACAATTCTTTCTTTATTTTATTTGCATAATTGTGTTTTTTGGTTGTTCGATAATCGGTTAGAATTACATAACTATTATAATGTAAAAATTAGTTATGAAGAAATTTATATATTATTTTATAAAATTCAGTTATTTAAATATTAATTATTTAATTTTTATACATCATGAACTAATATAGAAACACCCTCATAATTTATATGAATTTCTAAATTGTAAAAAAAAATATCGAATTAGGGTTATAAAATTTTATACGTAAGAAAATGCTACTAAATATGTTACTAGTATTTAGCTTCTATCTACAAATGAATGACTTAATTCTTATACGCAAGATCACCAATAATAAATTCAGATAAATCTGCTTTCGCCACTTCTAATAAGAACTTTGCAAAAAAAATACTTATAAATTAATTTATCGAGCTTATAAGTTTTCTCAAAACTCTCTTATTTACGTTTATATGTGAAAAAGTTGATTTTAAAACTACTATATATGCATTTGCTTTTGAAAATTCAAACTAATGGGGCCCTTAAATAACAAACACAAAATGGAAAGCAAATAAATACATAAATAGATAAATATTTCAACCAATCTTAAAATTGAATTCTCCATCATCAAATATGCCAAAACCCTATAAAACCACGGCGGAGAAATCTCATTTAAATTATTTGACCTGAAATAAATTGAATTAAAATGGGTTAAAATAAAAATCAAAACTCAATCCGTTTGATTTTTATTAAATTTTAATCAATTATTTATTTATTTTATAGATTTTGAATATCTAATAAAATTACTCTATTGTTTTAATTTAAGTATCTTACTTTCTATTTTGGTTATTCCAAAAAATAATGTCTCTTATAATGTCTCTTTCTATATTTACTATTTTTTTTTCTATTTCAACATCTTACACCATAAATTAAGACCACAATTTAAAGAATTACACACATCTTTAATCTAACACTATAACATTCAAAAGTCTTCTTTAAATTTTATAATCGATCAAAATTAAGATACTTAAAAGTAAGGCAAATGCGATATTTTTTTCTTATACAAAACATATTAAATTATCTCAAAAACATAATATTAGGTATATTATGTTACCTTCTTTAGATTCCATTTTTAGGACTATACAAGATTGTTGTATAACATATTAAATTAAATAAATACATCTAAAATATTTTAACATGAAAAATCAATTTAAACTATACTCCATCTGTTTATTTTTAATTGTCATCGTGCGTTTTTCAAAAATTAATTTGACTAATTTTTAAAGTTAAATTAGATTATATTAATTCGATATTTTAAACAAAAAAATAAATATTCAAAAAATACTATAAATTCAAACTTTTTGCATATCAATATGATGAAAAATACATTATAAAATGTTAGTGAAAGTTATTATCGTTTGACTCTAAAAATAAAATAAAAATTATGACAATTAAACATAGACGGAGGTAGTATATCAACCCGATTTTTAATAAACGGAAATAGAGTTAAATATAAATCTAAATCTGGGCATTGTACCTTCGTCAACTCCTATAAATGAGGGATTGTTTTGTCCTCTTCTGTAATTTCAATTTCTTCTCTTATATCATTCTTGTATACAACAAGAACGTAAATCACATATGAGTTCATCATAGTTATACAAAAAAATCGTTAATGGGTGTTCCAGAGCCTGTTCGCAATGACCCTTTTCCTGAAAATCGCCGTGAAGACGATGCTGGTGCTGCTTTTGTTCTGGAATCAAAAGGTTAAAAAAAAAAATTCAATAAATTTCCGTTTTTTGTAAGCTTAAAATGTCATTTTTTTTACAGTTTTATAGCTAAAGATTTCATCTTTTTATATAGTATTATAGCTGATTTTGTTGAAGAATTTCGTTTATAGTTGTGGTGTTAAAATGGGCGTTTTTTTATTTTTGGGAACAGGGGAATGGTGGCATGCTGGATTTCATTTGACGACGGCGATAGTAGGACCAACGGTGCTGACATTGCCGTATGTTTTCAGAGGTTTAGGATGGGCATTGGGGTTTATTTGTTTAACGGTGATGGGGTTGGTTACTTTTTACTCATATTATCTCATGTCTTTGGTTCTTGATCACTGTGAGAAGTCCGGTCGCCGGCATATCAGATTCAGAGAACTTGCTGCTGATGTTTTAGGTAGAAAAACCCCCCACCCCCACCCCCAATCCATGAAGAATTGTTCTTCTTTCTCCTACCTGCATAATTTGACCTTTTTATGTGTGTGATGTCATGGTGATATGCTTATTGTTGTTTTCTAGTTTAACTAGTAGACTTTTTTCCTTTGATAATTATGGTGTTGGGTTAGTACCTTGACTGATTATACGAGATATGTGCTAACTCCCCCAGTACAAGTTTCGGAAGAAATCACTTAGTGCTTTTTGACTTTGCTGAGATTTGAACTTGAGAGATTTTTTCCTTTTTGATAATCATGGTGTTGAGGTTAGTACCTCGACTAATTATATGAGATACGTGCTAATTCCCACCTGCATAAGTTTCGGAAGAAATCACGTATTGTTTTTTACTTTGCTTGAGATTTGAATTTGAGAGCCTTTTTCCTTTTTGATGATCTTGGTGTTGGGGTTAGTACCTTGACTGATTATACGAGATAGGTGCTAACTCCCACCAGCACAAGTGGTGGAAGAAATCACTTGGTGTTTTTTTGACTTTGTTGAGATTTGAACTTGAGACCTTTTGACTCTGCCAAGATTTGAACTTCAGAACTCATGGTTCTTGATTCGCTCCATTGACTATTAGGGTACACCCTTATATGTTCTATTTCAAATTGTAGCCTTTTTAGTTGGTTTAGATATTTAGTGCTAGAGAACTATAGAATAGTAAGTATTAGAATGGAATGAGCACAAATAGAGTGAAATGGATGGTGATGGATCATATGCCGACTTGAACTAGTTTGTAATTAAGGTGTGGTAGTAATGATTGTTGTTAGTTTTTGACTTGTCAATGGTTGTTGTTTTAAGAATAGAAGTCTAAACTATTGAATTAATCAAACGATGTAGCACTGTTTAAGTTTGTTTTTATTGTGCAATGCTATGCTGATTTAAAGGAAGGGGATTTCTGCCCTTTAGATAATTGTATTTACTACTTTTTGGACTGAGATCCAAAGATGATTTGGTTAGTCTTTCATTTGAAGTTACAACTTTTTGCATTTTTAAAATACTTAAAAGCTCTTTTAGAGGAAAAAGTTATTCTGGCATGTGTTAAGAAGAATTGATTCCACTAAAAAAACATAGATTTGCTTTATTGTTGTAGGTGGCCTTTGATGCCTCTAGTGGACCTTCAATGTGAGTGCAATGTTGATGTGACTTTGAATAGGATATTTGGCATGACTATTTTGACTGTAGCCACCAGACTTCAATGATTTTGTTAGATTTCTCCTAGGTTTAAAAGAAAAAATATATAGTTAGTGTTTTTTGTACCTTTTGAACATAGTGAATTTAGATAATTGGTGTTTGTTGGAGGAGGCTAAAAAAATAATGGATGGAATGAATGGCTTAAAGTTCTTTAACTCGTAGCTGTGTTGTCTAAGACAAAAAGCGTTAAAAAGTGTTTTAGGTCTCTCAGGGCTTTAAGCAACAAAGTGGAATTAAAATGTGGTGCTTTAGTTAAAAGAGGCGCACAACATAGCCAGTGTAATCCCATTGGGGAGGGTAGTGTCTATGCAAACCTTACGCCTACCTCAGAGATAGAGTGGTTGTTTCGGATAGACCCTTGGGTCAAGTAAAAGGCACAATGAAGAAAAAATTTAAAAATATATAATGCAAGAAAAAAGTAACAACTTCGTTGATTTCCTTTACAATAAATATATTTCTTTTGCCAATCATTTTTGTTGTTTAGTACAACTCTATTCAAAATAGAACTTATGAACAATGAGGTGCACCACTTAGTGCCTTGCCTACACTTAAATCACCCTAATTGACGCGAAGCACATATCCTGAGTTTTCAGGGCTTAAGCGTGTCTTAAATGAACCTTTGACAACACTGCCTCGTAAGAAGAAGTTAAACATTCTGAACCTCATATGAAGAAGTCAATCTACAATGCTAGATGAACATTACATTAATAGTTTTAATATTATTCAACATCTTCTCATCCAATTTAGGCCGGTTTTAGAAGTTTCGCTTTCTGCTAATATTTTGATTTACTTCCCACATATATTGGTTACATCGTATAATCTATTAGTCATTGAACGGTAAGATATATGAATGATGCCTTATATGTAACAACTATAACTCAAACTTGAGCATTTTACAACAAGCCTCTTTTAAAACTAAAGGATTTTGTGTTGCACTGATGTAGGTTCTGGCTGGATGTTTTATTTTGTGATATTTATTCAGACAGCAGTTAACACTGGCATTAGCATAGGAGCAATTCTGCTTGCCGGAGAATGCCTTCAGGTACTTGCTTCTGGAACAGCCAGTTGTCATTTTCCAGTTCTTCATTCATGTTAATTGTTAAATAAACTTCTCACCTCAACAAGTTTTCATTTCCAAGATTCACATATATTTGTATTCAGGAACTTTTCCTTTCAGTTATCCACTTATCTTTTTCCTCTTTGAGAATCTGACTCAACTAATATGTATGCTTTACAACAAAAACACTAAAGACTTTGGAAGTTCCATGAAAATCCACTAGCAGAGTAGCACAGTTGTTACAATAATATAACATGTATTAGCTGATTACTTGGACTTAGCACATGTCATCATCCATATAGATGATTAGTTTCTAAATGTTAATTGTTAAGTATGACATAATACCGTTGAAAGAATAACGTTTTGTCTCTTTAAACTTCTGAAAGAAAAGAAGTTGGTATCCCTAATAGGCTAATACAATTAACTAATTGTGAATGTGGCATCAGTTTTATCATTGGGATCAAAATATTAAGGTTATGCACAACCTTTCTTGTTTCTGTGCAGAATAAGCCATTAAGATGTATCTTAAGATCGCCTGTCCTTTCCTGTTGCATGTACCGAACCAAACTGCCAAATGGTCATGTAGTTTCTCTTATAAATGATTTTACTTCTACAATATGATACTCCCTCCATTTCAATTTGTTTGTCTTACTTTTCTTTTTAGTCAAGATTAAAGGATATTTTGATACAATCTATAGATTTTTAGTTTAAGACCACAAGATTCAAAAGTCTTCTTTACTTTATTAAATTTTGTGCCAAGTCAAAACTTGACAAACAAATTGAAACAGAGTAATTTTTTGGGTAATGGACCTTCATAACATTTCATGTAACAATGTTAAGTTGCGAAGAAATTTCAATAAGCTTAATTGACTTTTTGCATTATAATGGTAGAAGTTGAATAAAATACTAAAGGAATAATAGTTGAAAAGTTAGAGAAAATTTGAATCATCATATCATGATTTAACTCTAATTTGTTAAGAGGATTTTGTTTGCAATAAAGAAGTTAGAGTTGTGTAGAATACCTTGTTTGTAAATTAAGTATGAGAAACATTCAAGGACATCCCAAAATGAAAAAATGAGTTGTACTGGGATTGTGAAAGTACAAATTGGATAGAATTGGAGGCACTTGTCTTTTTGTTTGTAATTTTGCCTGCTTTGAGTTTGACCTGTTAGATCTTTTAGTGATTTTGGTACTCACCGATAAATTGATGGATATTTTGTTAACAAAAGACATGAGTCAATACAAAGGTTATTCAGTTTGTGATATGCTTCAAGGTCCTAAATACTAAAAAATATATAGGATGATAGCACAATTGAAATAGTTACTACGAACTATTGCTATGTTTACATTTTTTTTCAAGTTATTGAACAATTTGTTATTTCTTGTTTGCTTGTACAAGATCATGTACTCCGAACTTTCACCACACGGGCCACTGAAATTGTATCACTTCATTGCAATGGTTACAGTAATAATGATATGTCTCTCTCAATTTCCGTCCTTCCACTCCCTGAGGCACATCAACTTAGCATCGTTGTTTCTGAACTTGGGCTACACTTTCCTAGTTGTTGGTGCTTGTATTCGTGCTGGTAAGTTCTTATGTTCTTTGTGGTTCAGGTTCTTTTTCATGTCCTCGGAATATTTCTGAATAATTTGGAGAATCGAACACACAAGGTTACCAATTATCTTCAACCTGCATAAACTTGGTTACTAGAAGAGAAAATCATGCAGTTTTATGATGGACAACAGTGTAAGCCTTATTTCTTTTCTCGTTAGCTGTGAACCTTTAATAGGTGAGTACAACTGGTTTCCTTTTTTTCAGCTGAGTTAATGGTCAAGAACACACCTAAAGTATCTCCTTTTTTTCAAGTTTCATACCTGAACTAGGTGTGTGAGTTTCCTTCCTGAACTTTCACCAACTATTTATCAAGACACGACTCAACTATCAGTTGTTCTCTAAATATGAGCATCGTTCAGGTAGGAAAATGGAACAATTGATAGTTGAGGTGTGTTTTGATAAGTTGTTGGTGATAGTTCATGAGGTAGGAAACTCACACACCTGCTAGTTCAAGTATGAAAATCGAAAAACCGTGATACTTAAGGTGTGTTTTTCACTCTTTTCAGCCGTGACAATCTTTTTGTAATATGTCATTCTAAGAACACTCTGAAATGAGAGTTCAGAAATCAATATGCTTACATTAGTATATATGCAAACCTGGCCTGAAGCAAGCAGAAGTGTTAGTGGAGCCAATAATTCTTGTTAATAGCATGTAACTTTACTATATAGGTCCGGTTTAACTGAATATTTTCATCATTATGCAGGTACTTCAAAAAATGCACCTCCGAGGGATTACTCCTTAGAAACCTCACACCTATCACGGTTATTTAGCGCTTTCACGTCTATCTCCATTATTGCAGCCATTTTTGGGAATGGAATACTACCAGAAATACAGGTAAATAAATAGCTTCATTCATATTGACTTTCCCAATTTCATGATGTCCAATGGTCTTCGCTAGTCCATGATGATGTCGCAAAATATGTCAAATTGATGTATGTGTGGACAGTCAATAGGTTGTGACGCCATAGAGATGTAAGTTAATTTGTAGTCAACTAATGCAGGCAACTCTCGCGCCACCAGCAACAGGAAAGATGTTGAAAGGCCTTATGTTGTGCTACTCTGTAATCTTGGTTACTTTCTACTCTGCATCTGTTTCCGGATATTGGGTTTTTGGAAACAAATCCAATTCAAACATTCTAAAGAGCTTAATGCCGGATGAAGGACCTTCCTTGGCACCGACATGGGTATTAGGTCTTGCAATTGTCTTTATTCTTCTGCAGCTCTTCGCCATTGGTTTGGTAAGTCACGCATAAGCTACACAAGTAAATGTTGTTTCGCCAGCATGTTGTCATGTACATGGTGGTAACTATTTCAAAATATGGCACAGGTATATTCTCAAGTTGCTTACGAAATCATGGAAAAGAACTCGGCTGATGCAAACAAGGCTGTGTTCTCTCTTAGAAACCTAATCCCCCGAATAATCCTCAGAACGTTGTACATGACACTTTGCGGGTTCTTTGCAGCTATGTTGCCATTCTTTGGTGACATTAACGGTGTTGTAGGAGCTGTTGGCTTTATACCTCTCGATTTCATTCTCCCAATGCTACTTTACAACATAACTTTCAAACCAAAGAAATCATCTATTACCTTTTGGGTAAATACTTCTATAATGGTTATATTCTCTTGTGCTGGTCTTCTTGGATCCTTTTCTTCTATAAGAAAGTTGGTTCTAGATGCCAATAAATTTAAGCTTTTTAGTAGCGACGTTGTTGATTAACCTCTTGTTTAGATGACAAATGTATACTATTGTGCTTAGCCATATGTATGAAAGTTGTTGATAGTGAGGTTTCCGACCCCAACTAGCTTGGGATTGAAGCGTAGTTGTTGTTTATATGTATGGAAGTTGTATATCTATCGAATTGCGGGAATATGTATTTCAACAAGTAGTTTTCTGGTCTCTACATCAACATGATATATACCTGTTTGCTTATACATTTCATCAGCTGGAATTCTCTGTCAAAATTGAGAAGAGGATATTAACAAAATGTGATAATTAATCCTTCTTTTATTACTAAGTATATATGGTGCATTATTTATGTGACATTAGATCATACAATAATAATGCACTTATGAATTATGATGAATACAAAGTAGTAGATCTGGTGACAGGTACCCTTGGAATTAGTAAAGGTGCGCAAGAAAAAGTTTTTTTTTTTTTGAGTACTTTGAGTAAAGTTAAACGATGTCACATACATTGAGACGAGGAAGGAGTTGTTCATACTTATTATCTAAGATTATGGAAGTGTCATTAATTGTGATTTGTGAGTGTAATATTAACCTGAGGTAATCGTTAACCTAGGCAAAATGAAGACTAGACTTGTTCAAGTTGATTTTTAGAGTTTAATCTCTTATTAATTGTTGTTAACTATAGTAATGAGTCACTGTAAATTAATCATTCAAATCATTTTTTGGTTGTTCTTATATAAGATGGAAAAGAACATCAAATATATTTTATATCATTTTACTCTAATAAGATATCTAAGTCAAATTTCATTAACTTCATACTCAAATTGGTTAGTTATCAAATTAAAAGAACAACCAAGTTAAAATACTCTATTAATATTAATTCTTGAAGGATTTGAAGCATCAATATTCTTGCCAATTGTAGAAATTTTCCCCCAATTTATCATTTTACTTCAAAGAAAAATAAATTGTTTTCAATAGATTCTCGACTCAAAAATAACAATTGTAACCCTTAAAAAATTTAAAGATATGAAAAAGACATTTAAAAATAATAGTCTTTATCTATATTAATGAAAAATAACATATTTAATGAAATAGTTACAATGCATATAAACTGATTCGATTACTATTCACTACTATTACGTATAAAAAGAAAATAAATTGCACATAGTCAATGAAGGTGGGGATGTGACTTTTTGGCATGGTATCAAATGGATTTAATTATTAATTAAAGCAAGACAAATATGCATTATTAAAGGGGGCCACGTTTTATTTAATCAAAAAAAAATTGTCACAATGTTTTTGGATTATATCAAGACAAATATGCATTATTAAAGAAAGCCACGTTTTATTTAATCAAAAAAAAATTGTCACAATGTTTTTGGATTATACTAATCAGTCAAAGAAGTGTATTTTTAACTTCCAAAGCAAGCAAAGAAAATTGGTCTGTTCCCCAAATTTTGCAAATAGTTTGTTTGGTAATAAAATCCAATTTTATGCTCACGTCGTGCATTATTTTATTTTTTTAATTGTCACATCCACTTGTATAATGTGAATTAGTCTGCAATATGCTTAATTATTTATCAGTGATTTGTTTTGTTAGACAAATCATATGCTCAATTTATTAAATTAAATCAACGAGTCATATAATATTTTAATAAAATCAGTGAATGAGTGAAGAAAAAAAAAATTCTTAATATGAAACCGTAAGGGGTCGATCGGTAGCTGGATAAAATCCAAGTTATTCATGTATTATTTCTCGTATAGCTTATGAGACGTTTGGTATGTAAATAGAGAGAAAATAAGTTATTCACATATAAAATTAATATAACGTTTAGAATTTTGCATAATTAATACACATGTGTAAGTTATGAGGGAATTTATATATTATTTTATGCAGATTAAAAGGTGAAATAACTAATACATGAATAATTAAATCTTGCATAACTAATATGCATAAAATAATACATAAATTCACTCTACATTACTAATATCCGCAAAACTCTAATTTGCTATCAAACGACCTCTCAGTGGCATCTGACGTTATATCTGCCCTAGGATTAGATGAATGATTGGTATCTTTTCATTTTTAATCCAGATATCTCGAGTTCAAATTTTCGTTAAAACATGAAAGCGTCGTCTTCAAAAATGGGTCCGATGCTTTCAATTAGATGCTCTTCATAACAGAATGCTCCACTATGTCATCTAGCTTCTAAAAAAAGTATTGGATTTACTTTTGTTTTTATATGCCTAATTGGGGCCTTACTAGATATTAGACAAATTCCAGGTCATCATCATTTTATTCTTTATCTAAGATATTTTATTTCATTTAAGAGAAAAGGAACAATAAAAATTTGGAATTTAATCAATTCACTGAATTTAGGTAGATAAATGAAAGGATAAAGAATATAAAGTTGCATGGACTATATATTGTTTTTATTGAATTTATAATTAAGATTGGACCACTTTAAATTAATATTAAAGAGATAAAATTTTGACACACCAATTTGTAACCCAATAATTAATATCAAAATTAATGATTAATTTAGCAAGACAAATATAAATATTATCGAGTACTATTGTGAGTCTTATTGTATTGTCATTTGTCTTTATCAGTTTACGAGTAATATATGGATCGATTTCCTATATTCACCTATAGTTTTAAAGATGCACAAACAAAAAAAATATTAAAGCTTATGAATAAAGTGGTCGTAAATACTCATATAATGTGAATGACAAATAATTAATCTCTAATTTAGTTAATGTAAGGTAATATAGATTATGCGCAGAACTAATTTAAGGGAGATATTATCGATTGCATGTGAATAAAGTTTTATATGAAAAGTAGAATAGAAAAATAAATTACTTATAAGCAGTGGCGAATTTACAGCCAAAAAATAGGGCACCCACACCCGTGGTCTTCGTAAAATTAGATATTTTATATGTATATTTTTTAAGATTTTGTATAATATTATATTCTTGCACCCGTACTACAAGAAGTCTAAATGGTCCACATGGTTAAATGTTGAACTTTTGACCTTGAGGATTAAGGATCAATTCTCACTTCAATACATTTTACTTGGTGCACCCATGTTCAAAAAATCCTAGATTCGTCTCTGCTTATAAGTATATGCGATACGTTTTAAAGTAAGAAAACCTCTATGTATTTGATCAAAACAAATAACATTATGTTACGTTCTATTAAGATAATAATAATATACCCAGTTCAATTTTATAAATGATTCTAAAACATAAAATATACGTAAATATTACCTCATGGAGCATAAATGACAAAACTATTGTTGTATTAATTGACCCACGTTAATTGACTGTAGTCTCAATCATCATATTAATTACTCCATTAATTATTATAATATAAGGTTATCTTCTCATTAAATTATTATTTTTCTCGATATCAATGTTCAACCATATTATTTTATACTTTTGTTTCCTTCTACGTGTGAGAATAAGCTTACAGATCTACCAAATCGTAGAAAAAATGGTAGAGGAAAAAGAAAAATAAATGACATTATTAATATTCGTGTACACACTAGTCAAATATATATAAAAATAAACTACAATTTCCAAAGTTATTTATAATTAGAAACGATCTTTGACAAAGTAATAGGTTCCAGTCAAAATTATATCCATACATTCAGTAAATGTACTATATATCTTTCTTGTACTAATTAAATAATCATAAAATATGCTACATAAAGTTTTTATATATATATATAAAGCTTCAACATATAGTAAAGAAAAGGCAAATGCATGTTTTTAGCGGACCAGTTTCTTTCTAAAAAGTAAAGTTGTCTCGATATTCGATATTTTGTCTGTTTTATATTAATTGTTCTATTTTTATAAAAATATTTTAATTAATTTTTAAAATTAAATTAAATTATTTAATATTTTAAACTTATAATTTATTAGCTGTTAAAATTATAAACAAAATACTACTATAAATTACACTTTTCTCATATTAATATGAAAAAAGCATTTTAAAATATTAGTTAAAATTCATGTAATTTGAGTCTCAAAATAAAAATACCTAACAAATAATTTGAAATAAAGAGAATAATAGTATATACTGATAATAGTTGTGGTGTAGTAAAAGGTAATCTTTCATTATTTAACTTTTAACAAAGATCTTGAGTTTAAATTTTAAAAATATATTTTTCCTTTTTAGTGATAAGTGATAATCATATTAATCAAATTAATACATTTTAAATTTATAAAGTATATACATCCGACCCCGTGAAAATTTGACTTATTTTTCTTATATAGCCAAATCACTCAACAATCCTCATAAATGCTCCTTCAACCGTATGAAACTATTAAATCTTATCGATACGAATGGTTAGTAAGATGGTTGAAATTCCTTTATCCTCGATAATTTTTTGAATTTGAGTTTGAAACAATCAGAAATGAAAATATGAAATTAAACTCTGACTTTATACACCAAATGGTATAAATATAATATATTAATTTACTATTGGTTAATCTGTTAAGAAAAAATATCTTAAAAATCAATAACCCAATAAAAAACTAAAATTCAAAATCACTAAATCAATAACTCATAACTCATAAACCAATATTCCCTCTGTCCTAATTTAGGTGACACATTTTAGATTTTGAGATTATCGTAAATTTTTCATACATCTTTTAAATTCTTTGAATTGTCAATTATTGTGATTTATATTATTTTTTACGTAGTTTACAAATATATAAATTTTATTTTAAAAATTAAAAATTCCACGAGTAAAATCTCGATTAAACTTAAATTATTTGACTATCGAAAATAAAGTATATCACGTAAACTGAGATAGACGAATAACATTTTTTAGTTTGAATATTAATTTTGATTCGATTTGAATCCCACCCCCACTCAAGATCACCCTACCCCAATAGTCACAGCGAACACGTTAAAATCTTACTCGCCACAAGATAAAACGAACTTTCCTCTCAACTCCTCAAACACACCTTTCATATGACTCACCACTATATAAACCCCAAAATCTCCGTCAATTAATTCTCCACTATCCTTCCATAACAGCAATGGCGAAAACTCCAGAGAAAATCTCACAGCAAAAAATGGCTGCCAGCGCAGTAAACAAACCTCCCATATGGGATTGTGGAAGCTCACTCTACGACTCATTCGAGTTGAAATCATTCGAACGTCAACTCGATTCAGCCATATCTTCTCGAAGCCTCTCAATGCCTCATTTACCCGATCGCCGTGTTCTTATTCCACCTTCAACAACAGATCCCCAACAAACTACTCAACCGATTTCCAAAAAAACTTCTAGAATCTCTAGATCTTTCCAGAAACTTCTCAAATCCGTTTTCAGAGCAAAACAGAGTAACAGTCCGCTTTTTCAGGGGCAAAATCGAGATGGATTTTACGTCGTTTATGATAAATCTGGTGCACTTACGACGATTCCGGAAGGACCGGAGTACGACAGACTTTCGCCGGAGATTAAGTCGTTGGTTAGAAGAACAGGTTCCGAACGGTTCACGGCAACTTCCATTGGTATTTCATGTGCTTGATATATAATATAGATCTTAATCTAAGTAATTAGAATATAATGACTAATATGTATAGCAATAATTTCTTTCATCTTTTGGAATATTGTTGTTACTAGTTTTTGAACTAAAAAATTTGAAGTTTTCATGGCCTACAACGTAGAATATGTGACATTATTCCAAAACTTTTGGTTTGAGTTATTGTTCTCGAAGACTATAAATATCTTAATCACGATTCATATTGAAAATCCCTCCGCAAATAATTTGAGACGAAAGGAATATAATGCGTGTTTTGCATAGTTATCGAGTAATGTTTGTTTACTCAAACTTATAATTGTTGAAATTGAGATATGTTTACAGTCTGAGCAACTCGCAAGTTATTTTTGGTTAATGATTCGGTAGCCTTAATGACAGCAAGCTGGATTAGTTAACTCCCGCCTTAATTCACGTAAAAAGTAGCGCGCGAATAGTGCAAAGTATTCTATATTTATTGGTATTTAATTATGAAATACCTCTTTATGACTTAAAAATCATTAATATCTCAATTAATTGATTAGTTGAGGAAATTGCTCGAACATGTAGTATTCATGTTATGAGCCCGATAAATTTATCGATTTATAAAGGATGGTCGAGTTTATTGAGCAGTAGGTAGTTTTCACGTTGTGAGCTTTATAAGTTTATCGATTTATTTGCAAGGATGGTTGAGTTAGTTGAGCAGGAGTGAGGTTTACTTTTTTTAGGACTCTTTGTGTTTGAGTGTGATAAGTGTACCGATTCCTTTGGCCTATTATTCGAGCATGTAGTCTTCCGATTATGAGCTTAATTAGTCTATCAATTCGAAAATGTAATCTTTAGATTATGAGCTTGATATATAAATAATATGAAATCAATCAAAGAGGATTACATTAGAGAGCAAATTTAAGACTAAAATACATTTGTGTTGATTTTAACTTATCTTCGACGTGATTGATTTCTTTCTTCCTCTTTCGATTAATTTGAATATACGTGAAAAGTGAAAACATGTTCTATCAAGATTTTCTTTTCATGCACCATAGTGATTTGATTTCTTTGCATCACGGGTGAAGGTACCTAAAAGTTGACTTCCAACTATTAAGACTTAACTCTACGTTAGAGGTGGAGAAATGGAGCATTTAAGTAAAAATTGACAGCAAATATATGACCCATCTATAAGTGACCTAAATTTGACAACTAACCAAGCACTTCCTTCGCATTTCTTGGGAAATATATGGGTAGCTTCCTTACCATTTATATGCTTGATCGGTTAGTGAAAAATATTTTCGAAAAAATGTATATTAAAAGTTAATAATATATCGATGGAATCAAGTAATATGAAGTAAAAAATTGAGAAAAAAAATAAAATAACTTTCACTTATAAGTAAAAAGTCATTATATCCCCTTTAATAGAATATTTACCTGATAACTAAACATCAGAAAATAACTTTCTCCTAAAAATAAAAATAATGATTTTCGTATAACCAAACATACCATTTATGTTAAGATTATATTGGATGAGATTATAGTTTATTTAGAACTATATATATAGCATATATAAAACAAATGCATGCTAGAAGATTGCTAATTTATCTAGCTACCATAAAAAAGATTTATTGGCATCTTATGGTGGTTGAATTAAAGACGCATTATAATCAAGGTTTGTCTATATTTGTGGAGACCGCTAAAAGACTACGAAAGAGAATATTAATGAATTGTACCATTATCTTCAATTCTTATCCATGATTTTTTTTTTTTGGAACTTAGTAATACTATGTACTACTATATATTGACTTGTTCTTGAAAAGATTATAACAAAAAATAATTTAATTAATCTAGATCAAGTTTCAAAACCAAGTTATAACTTTACTAGAGCTACATGTAATTAAATTTCCTTCATAAAAAAATCATACTATAAGATAAAAATTCATGAATTCACCACTACCTATAATTAGCTAGCTAGGTACGTATCAAATTGAATAAATTAATTCTTAATCTGTCTTTCCTACTCTTTTTTCCGGCTCATAATCAAATCGAATCATATCGAACCAATTAATCCTTGGGATCAAATTTACTCCCTCCGTCCTTATTTAGTTGTTCATATTTCCTTTTTTAGTTGTTCCTATTTAGTTGTCTATTTTGACAAATCAAGAAAGGACAACAATTTTTTTCCTATTATACCCTTATTTAAAGTGAAAAGTTATCATAAATAAGTAAATAAACTTATGAACTTTCAAACATTGATTAGTTATCTTGAATGAATTTATTTTGAAAGTAAATTGTACTATAAGGGTAAAATTGTAACTTCACTATGCTAATTATTGTTGCCTTAATATGTGTGTCATTTCTAAAGTGGACAACTAAATAGGGACGGAGGGAATAGTAATTAGGTGATACAAATTAAAGTTGCTATGATAAAAATTAAAAGAAGTTCACGGATGAAGCATGAATATAATTAATGAATATTGGTTTAATTAATTAGGAAAGATGATTAATTACTATAGTTATATATATACTCGTGAGGTTGGTGGTAAAGCATTTATATACTTTACAGCATTACATACATTTAATTATTTTGCAGAAGGAAGCATTTAATTGGGCAATTGACACTAGAGTTTCTATCAAACTTCATGTCAATCTAGTAGTACAACTAGTAAAGATTAAAAACAATGAATTTAATGCACACTGTGTCATACATGTGTGGCCCATATTCAATTTTTGAAACGTCTCGACGTGTTGTTGTTGTAATTTAGGTCACTATTTCGAGCGCGTATTATCCAGTGTTTTAAAAAGCGAGGCGTTTTATACGGTATGGGCGAGACGTAAGTCTCGAGACACGGGATGTAAGTTCCATAGATTCACGGGGTGTAGTCTCATGTATATTCAATTTTATAGTTTTATTACTAATAAAATAAGCAAAAGTAAACATTTCAATGATTTTACAAATAATTTTTTATAAATAACCTATAATATATAGAAATTATATTATGATTTTTATTTGAGATAAGTGTTAATAATCAATAATGAAGGAAAAAAATCATTATAATTACTATTTGAGAAATATCATTACACCAATAATAAAAAAAATATGGTTTAAAGCAAAAAAAGGTTAAGAAAATAATTTATGCTCGAGGCTTACGCCTCAAATTTTAGAACTTACATCTTATATATCTACGTCTTAAATTTATGCCCCGAAACGTTTTTGATAGCCCCACCCGAAACTCGCCCCAAAAACGTTTTTGAAAACACTACTATTATCTATCTTTTTAGATTTTGTGTACATCTTCAGAAAGTCATTTAATATAGTCGTGAGACATTATGCATGATCGACCACAAAAAACTGATGTTTTGACGTTTTCTTGAATTAGACAAGCCATGGCCATATGATCAACTTAATAAGTAGAAGGAAAACGAAAGAGAGATGTGTTAGGGTTTTGCCCTGATTTTCTTACCATAATTTAAGATTTATTTTTTCTTAAAGAAAAGACAAAACATTACCATAAATGTTTTTACTTTTCCTGAAAGGAAAATATAATATTCTTTCATATTTGGTTTATTCTTTCCTTTTAGGAAAAGGTTTTGGAGTAGCTAGTTCTTTTCTAGTAGGAAAGGTTTTAGGACTCTATAAATATAGGTTTGTTTATTCTAACACAATAACAATAACATTCACAATGTAGTCGTTTAAGAGTCTTGTTTATGGGGAGATTTATTCTCTCTAAAGTTTCAATGTTTTTCTTTATATTAGTTTTGATATAATAATATTTTGATTTTTAGTATAAGTTTTTGTTATCTGATTTATCAACTATATGATTTGCAAATTGTAAATTTCTGCATGACGCCCTAATCATCCTTCATAACCCAACAAGTGATATCAGAGCACATGGTCCAACGATCCCATGGTCCGACGATCCTATGATTCAATGAGGTTGAAGATAGGCTCAAGATGGTTTCAAATCAATTTGTAATCAACTGATGATAATGAAGATTTTTGTGCTACTATATGTGGAGAAAAATTTCAAATATATTTTCAACAATATCCTGCTGCTTTATCCTTAAAAACAAAATCAATTTTCAACCCATCTTTGCTTTAATACATGGGCTCCAACTTTCAACCCCAACAATTTTTAATGTTGGGGCTCCAACTTTCAACCCCAACAATTTTTAATGTTGGGGCTCCACTTTTAACTCATGCATCTCACTTTTAATGCATGAGCTCCACTTTTAACTCATGCATCTTACTTTTAACGCATGAGCTCCACTTTCAACCCTGCTTATAACTTTTAACACAGGGCTCCAATTTTTTAACCCATATCAATTTTTAAATCTTGGTAAGCAGCAGTGATACATGAAGATTTTGTGAAGAACAAGATTATCAAGCATATGAAGAAAACAGATCAAGCTTTGTCAAGAAAATTCAGCCAAAAGGGGAGATTTGTTAGGGTTTTGCCCTGATTTTCTTATCATAATTTAAGATTTATTTTTTCTTAAAGAAAAGACAAAACATTACCATAAATGTTTTTACTTTTCCTGAAAGGAAAATATAATATTCTTTCATATTTGGTTTATTCTTTCCTTTTAGGAAAAGGTTTTGGAGTAGCTAGTTCTTTTCTAGTAGGAAAGGTTTTAGGACTCTATAAATATAGGTTTGTTTCTTCTAACACAATAACAATAACATCCACAATGTAGTCGTTTAAGAGTTTTGTTTATGAGGAGATTTATTCTCTCTAAAGTTTCAATGTTTTTATCAAGTAATAATATTTTGATTTTTAGTATAGTTTTATGTGTCGTCTAATTTATCACTCATGATTTACAAATTGTAAGCTTCCGCATGACGCCATAATCACCCCTTCAGAACCCAACAAGATGTGTGACCCAAATTCATTTACATGTTATTATTTTAAGTTAGGTTATTATATTGTTTACCGTATATATTATGTATATTTATGAAGATTTTGTATGCCACTTTCAAAAATTCATGTAATAATTGAAGGGTATTATGATCGATTATATAAAACTAGTGTTTTGTTATTACATTGAACTTAACAATTAATATAAAATGTCTATGATGATTTTCGACTTAATAATAAAGGAAAGACAGAAGAGAAGCTTAACAATTTTTATTAGGTAATCACTACCTAACCTATTG